ATGGGTACCATGCCAGGGTATGTCATATAGCTACCAGGAGGGCTATGCTACATCATCAGAACGACTATCTGTGGGATTTATGATTAAGAGAGGAAGGCAGCAGGACAGTTGTGGTGGCACGGTGATCTGCTGCTGCTGAACACTGCAGAGCTCCCTTCTCTGAGGCCTCCTCCTCCCTTCCCCTTCCACTGTCCACCAGTTGCAGGAACAACTCAGCTGCTTATATGGCATCACTGAATTGCTGCAGTTTTGAACTTAAGATCACCCAAACTTGGTACCAGCTTACAGTTCCTCAAGGTGCTGTAGAACTTAACTGCAGAGTCTGCTCCAGGTCCTGGAAGAAATATGCCAGGAATATCTCCCCTCATGTCAAGGAACTGGATTGACATGTGCTCTGCGTCAAACCTCTATTTTGTGGGAAGGGGAAGGATCAAAAGAGTGGGGAGTCATGATATACCCAAGTGCTATTGCTTTTAAAATTAAAATCCAGTTCAGGGACTTTCAAATACTCCCTGTCACAGGGTTCATTATTGAGTCTGTTTCATTTAACTTAAACAGCTTGAGCTGTCAAGAGTGGCTGCAGCAGACACGGTAAGTAATATTTGAGTGGTTATTTGACAAACAAATAATTTGTAATTTATAATACACAAACATTTTGATTGAAAAAGCCATTCTTCTGGTGCAACGGACCATTAATAATGTTTGTTTTTAAGACATGCAGCAGTGCTTTCAATTCAGGACAAACTCACACAAAAAAAATTACTAGAAAGTGTCAGCAAAATTCAGATTATATTTTAACTATCCACAAATATTAATTTTAAATTATGAACTCCCACCTATCAATGTTAGCTCTGGCTATTTTGGAACAAACTTAAAAGTTAGCGCTGAAAGCTCAGTCAGACTGTAGTGAGAAATCAGATCTCCCTGTTCTCACGTAGCGATTACAGATTTATTGCAGTCTTGATGTGACAGAGCGCTAACCAACATTAACTATGCTTCAAATAACTGCTTCTTTTTATCTCTTAAGATCTTTTGGTTTCTAATCTTATAGCTTTCAGTCTTTCCATTTTATTAGATAAGGGTTTAAAGCGCTCTGACAATGAAAAGCCCTAACAGACCGATTCTGGGCAGTCCTGCCTGCCATTCTGCTCCCTGTGCAACAACCTTAACCCAAAAGAGAAATAGGAAACTGCTCCCACAGACAGTAATTGTACTTTCCAATTTGGATTTTGCCATTCAGTTCCTGTGGCATTTAAAGGTACTCCTCCCAAGAATCTCATCAATAACAATCTAATTATTTCACTAGTGAAACTACCTAAAATAATATTAACGAAAATAGCCCACTTATTTGACCTTTTTTATTTTGAAAAGACATAAAAGACATTCTCAACCTTGAACTCTCACTGCAGACTGTCCCCTTCATGCAACTTCACAAAGCCCTACTTGTCCATCATGTAATTTTATGCACTTTTCTCTGAAACAGCAGATATTGGGTACACTGGGCTACAGACTGGATACTACATGGCATTTCTAAAAACTGTCACAGAAAGGATTTGCCTTTGCCATTCAATTTAGTGAAGTGAGAATCCGTTGTAGTTTTATTTTATTGTATGCTGTGGGTCTTAGCCATCACCTAATTCATTTTTACAGACGAACTTTCCCCACTCAAGCCACTTAGGAGCATATAAACATATTCCTGAGAAGACTGCATTACCAGAACATCACTGCCACTCTTTAGTGCTGGGAGTTCACTCATTCTCTGCCTATTTAAGATCAAACTTCAGCAGCACTTGGGTACCTTGTTAGCTTTCTGCTCATTCACTGAAAATGGTTAAATTCACATATTAAGATGATGCCTGCATCATGTTAATCATGTTTTCCCACCTGTTGCTTTCTCAAGCCTTGCTAGCACCCGTACTGTAAAAAAAAAAAATAGAAAAAAGTAGCCATTTGTACAAGAAAGCAATCATTTTAGTATGCTTTGTACTCACAGAAAAGCTGAAAAGGGGAACATATTAAGAGAATAACTGCAATAGCTGCCTTTACCAGCTATAACCATTAGCTGGGTGAAAACTGGTATTTGAAAGACATTTTTTGTTTTCCTTGAGCTTAAACAAGACTTTCAGTATGTGATATTTTGCTATCATTCTGCCTTTCCCAGATAGGCTACTTAATCTGTAATAAGATACTACTGCCACGTTTGATTCAGTTCTGAAAAGGAAATACATCATTATGGCACAATCAACTGATTTGCTCTTTTGATACTTTCACTGTGTCACTATCATGTTTGAATGACATGCAAACACCCAAATAACAAAAAAATGCTTGTGTCTGTTTCTCCCCATTTCTGCTAGTGTTACAAAAGCAAAGATTTGAAACAGCACACTGTGCTTCGTTATCTCTTAGCTCGTGCATCCTTCTGTTTGCTTTGCAAAGAAAATACAAAATGGAAAGATTTGTACATAATCAGTGGCAATTAAAAAAACACCAAAACAGCATGGTATATGTTTTCCAGCCATCCTTCAGAATCACTACATACTAAATGCAAGTCAAGTCTTGCCACTGTAATCAACATCTCCTTCAGTGTCAAAAATAATTGTTTAATGTCAGTAAGAGATGCTCCTTTAAACATGTGTCGTCAGTATTTTGTCTGTGGCTGTAGCCTGATTTGTTACATTGGCTTTATCTATAAAAACCAGCTGCACATTGGCCACAGCTAGTCTTCAGCCTGCTTAGCAGGTCACCTGTTTAGCAAGATGCGAGAGGTCAAAACAAGAACAGTGATTGACAGGATTATGAAAAACTCATTCCTCTCATCCGCTTGACGGTTTGCTGTCCTGATATGCCACATAGGACCACAGGAATGGCAACAAATGAACTGCAGGTGAGCTGAAATGAGACAGGCACAGTGGAAGATTAAGACTGACATGGGACTCCCACAGTCATGCAACTGCTTTTCCGTGATAGAACAGAGGTGGCATTACGCTGCTCAAAATTGAAACACAGCAATGTAGCATTGGCACTTCAATTTCAGGGTGGAATTTCATGATCAAAAGGGTATCCAACTGCTGTGCCACTGTATTTGTTGATGGTATTGGAACCTGGCACAAAATATATTGGCTAATAGAGAAAATGTGATTAATACTCAGGATTCATGTTCTCCTGCTGGCTGTGATTCTGAGGCATGGCATGGCCTAGAGAAAGTCTGTCAAATCTAGACTTATCCATCCAGACATTCATCTGCAAGCAGGTTTAATAATTGTTTGATATGAAGCAATGGCACTGGGTTTAACTTTTGGTAAACTGTTTTGAGGTCTTCAGTTGCAAGACAGAATGAGGGAATGGAGTATACTGAAAGTGGAAAACTTTCATAATGCAACACTGGGAATAAGGAGTTTATTATTTAAAATTTCATTGGCTCCTGTTTTTTTCCTGATCTGAAACTGTATAACTGTTTTTACTATTATGACACACTATGACAGTTTACACTTTGGCCTTTATAAAAATATGTATTAAGATGCCAGGATAGCAAAACATGAGCACAGACAGCTAACACAAAAGCCTAAATCATTTCTGAAGCATCAGTAAGGACATTGTTTTCCTAAGAAAGGCAAGAATAAGTAGAAGTGTTACCTAAACAGATATTGAAAGAGCAGATTCACTTAGCTCCATCCCTTTAGGTACTATCAGGAAAAAAATGTAGTAATCATAGATGTACAGTAAAAATAAATACATTACCACAAATGTTTAATCTTACTGAAAAGCTGCAGACCTCTAAGTGAATGAGTAATATCAAACATTAGTTTGCTGAGGTAAAGAAGCAGTTTGAGAACATCTTAAGTGAGCCATTTTCTCACCACTTGCTCAAATAAATAAAATAAAAATATTTTTCTTATTTAGAAGTCTTTACTGTGCTTTTGTAGTGTGTTTTTGAAATCTCTAGACAAGAGAAAAATACAAAAAGGAACAATGTGATGTTTCATTCTAAGTTATTATTTTGGACCTGAACCAACAACCTCACAAAGCCAAAGTTCTTAAAATGTGTTCATTCCTTTACAACTTAAAATCCAATTTGTACTAGAGGTTAAGTATATTTTATCAAGTATATCAATTCTGGACTTACAGGTTATAATTTAGGATACAAAGATTGTTCAGTAAGTTAAAAAAACAGTCTGCAGTCAAAACATTTCTTATTGATATTGGGTCAAGGATGATCAAAGATTTTAAGATTAATTTTCGAACCCCTGATTTCAAGTTCACTGTCGTGTTCTACACACCTTTAGAGAACAATACCAAGCCCGTATTATTTGGGCTTAGTCATCCATTTTTGGTTTTTTTTCAGAAACAAAATCTAAGATATAACAAGATGGTGAGGGTGAATAACCTTTCTCATTTTCCTTTCTGTTCACTTTGAACCACAGCAGGTCTTCTACTCCTCTTGAAAATCATTCATCTATCCATCTCCTACGCATCTGAAAGTATTAACTGGTTTCCTAGAAAAGGAAATCCATAGGTTTACTGCTGATATTTCAGTCTCTAAGATGGTTATTTCATTTTCTTGAGTTTGAAACACAGACAAATTTGTCCAACTCTGGCATGTATTTTTGATACTCTAAATCTTTCAATTCGTAGTTATTCTTTACGTTCACCTTCCCCCACACAGCAGAAATACCATACATTAGTTCTTTTAGTCTCTTGGCACCAAGAGTTTGATTTTCTGTCTCTTTCACAAGTCAACTATTAAAAACAATATGCTCAGACGAGCTCGTTTGCTATGGTGGTGTCCTACTGCAGTAAAGCTCCAACATGCTATCTTACTTTATACTGACTCTGAAGTTTCCTTAATTGAAGTCACTGATGACACAGAACTTCAACAATTATTAGCCCAATTAGGTCTTATTTCAGCAACATACTTAACCACCTGCAGATTTCAAACATTTACTAAAGTTTTATGAAGTTGAGCTTTTATTTTACAAAGCAATTTGTTTCTTAGGAATTAAAGGGAAGTGAAGGCAATAACTATATCCAAACTGTTTATACTGCTATTCACATTCAATAGTGAATAACTGCTAGATTTGCTGATATGTCTGTAAAGACAACAAAAGTTAAATAAACCTGTTAACTTCCAGGGGCAGGCTACTCATCCAGAGAAACTAGACTGCAAAACTCTCCAGCAATCCTTCTCCCCCTGTTTCTCATTACTTCTAACAGACCAGGCAACAAAAAAGCTTCATGCTTTCAGATCTGTTGGGGAATACAGTTTGCTGCTGCTGTCATATCATTATTTCTATGGTCAGCTATATATCTACACAAACTTTTACTGTTTAATTTTTCTTATATGGGACCTTTTCTCCAGCGTAGCCTTAGGAAAATAGAATGCCTCTGTAAAACCCTGTCTGTGTCATGACAGGTTATGTAAACTTTTCAAGCTCTGAAAATAGCTGTGCTATGAAGCAGAAATTATCTGAAAGTAGAAAAATCAAACTACAAAAGTATATTGCATATTTTATTTTATTTTATGGTGCAATAAGCATCTGATCCTATGACTCTATGTCACCTGCCAGGAAACCAGTTTTTAGTCTTATCTGTTGGGTAAACAAGCTTTCTCCATTCATTAGGATAGACTTTGTTAGTTATCTACACCTTCTAATCACATGATGTCTAAGTGTTTATTAGGGTTTACATCTTACAACCTTCAGTCACATTCCACTGAAATCAAAAGGAGCCTTTCATCCCAGTATAATGACATCAAGCCTGTCTGTGATCTGAAGTAGCTATGCTCCACCCTTGAGCTAAGTTGTTAGAGAAGATCAGTCTCAGTTTTTGCATTTACTTAGACTGTCTTGTCATTTTATGTCAATCAATTTACAGCAAAAGGCTGAATTTCCATTGTCTCTCTCAAATCTATAGATAGGCATCTAAAATTGCTAACAAAACTCATTATGCTGTATATAGATTCCTGTATTATTAGGTCAGAGAAAAACATTTTGATCATCTGGTCTGACCTCCAGACTGACACAGGCTGTAACACTTCCCCAAATAGTCTGAAGTACTAAATATACTGAAAACATTGTCTTCTTGAGGTCTGTGTTGAAACCTGCACTTGGTTCAGCTTTTTGGTTTGACTACTGTTGCTTGCAGTCTCTCATCCTCATAAAACAAACTCTGTGAAGCTGACTGTAACCAGAATGCAAATTAACTTTAAAAGCTCTTTTTTTGTAGATTTAGCCAATAAATTTTTTAACAGCCAGGCACTGAAAATACTGCAGCTAGGAGCTAGCATACTAACACTACACAAACATCACCTCTGCAACTCCCAGGTCTGCTGCCGAGACTATGAAAAAAATACTAATTCCATTATTTTTGTACTGACATTGTATTGCACCCATAATAACAACAACAAAAAACCTTTCACAGCACCACTTCAGTTTGTATTAGGCAATTGCTCTTTATGGTAGCAACACAAACTATCGAATGAAATGTACAAAAAGCCAGGATTCCTTAGCTTTTGGTTTAGTACCATTCACATTTAGGGGCTGGGGGGAAGTCTCCCACAGTAAAATGTATTTGATGCATTCTGCCACTCACTTAAATCCACCATTAAATTCTTTTTGAAGCCATTATACTGCTTTAGAGAGACTATTTATGTATGGTGTTATATTTAACATAAGTCAAATGTTGAGGCTTTTCAATGACTGAAAAAATAAAATCAGTACAAAGAATATTCGTAAGAAGTCTGTTCTATGAAAAAAAGCCTTGAAATATTCTGAAAAACCTATTTCATTTTAAAGAATAACTTGACAATGTATGGCCTGATCACCAAGGATGTTTAACACCGATGCCTCAAATGTATTATAATTTGCATTGTAGGGCATGTGCTGTTTCTTTACATTCAGTCCTGGGAATCCTGAATTTGACAAATGTTCAAGCATACTGCTAAAGATACAGGTAAGAGTTATCTGGAGAAATATTTCCCACAAAAATTATTAAATGCCTTTACATATGGAATAGAACTTAATGAAAAAGTCTTTTTTTTTTAAAAAAAGAACATAAATGCCATGAGGTGAATGAGATTGGATAGCTTTATCTGCATAAAATCTAGGGATCTTTTCAAGTGCACTTCATTGTGCAAGCCTCCACTATCAAAATCACATTCTTCCAACTGCCTTCCATTTTTGCTAGTTTTCTACTGATTGCTCCAAGTTTAGTAGAATTTTAAATGCTTTGCAAATGCAATTCCCCAGAAAAGGAATTCAGTGGGAACTCCTAATTAGTCTGTGGTAACTGCAAAGGTACAGCCAAAAAACCTGCCTCCGTGTGCAATATTAAAAAAAGTGGAGATTGTAGGCTGCCACCAGAGATGGACACAGAGACAAAACTGGTAAGATAAATGAGATGAAACAGTCATAAAAAACAATACTGAATAATGTGATGCCAGTTTTCAAGTTATTATTTAACAGGCACAGATGTTAGAGTCACATTTTAGTTTGCTTTTCATGTACACTATGAATTATTTTGCACTTTTACATTAGTACACATTAGGCAGAAAACTGTCTCTAATATATTCGATGAAATGCACTTTAGGGGGAGCTTCCCCCTCCTCAATCTGTTGACTGCTCTTTTAATCATAAAATGGCTGGACATGAGTTCCAATCAACGCTAAGGCTGTGCTAGCAAGTGACAAATCATTTCACTTCAGAAAATTATTAATCTTAGTGGTGCTGTGCTTGTGTGCCATGATTTACTGAGAACAAAATAACCTCACAATGCTCAATTTAAAATTGGACTCCGGTTTTGAATAATGGCATGCATTTACTGATGTGATAAAGCAATTGACTAGTGAGGACTCATTTGTAACAAGGGAACAGCTGTACTATCAGAGATCAGCCTGATGAATATAATATTGAAATATTTTTACCACAGTAAAATGGCTACAAATTCTTCTTTTGGGGGAAGGCAGCTGGAGCAAATAAAGCATTGCCAAGATCAGGTGACTTTAAATTAGGTCACCTGCCTTACTTGCCCTTACTTTGGTGAAAACAGAGACAGGCTGTAGATCAAGACCAAATAATAAAACATCAACTTGTATTTCCCTTCTTCACCACTTCTTCACCTCACCTGCTCTTCTGCAAAAGACATCCACAGTTTCTACCACACCGCTGCTGAGCACAGCACACGCAGGTATTGGTGCTTTGGTCTACCCTGCCTTCTAAGGGACTTTGACCCACGTCATGACCATTTCATCTTTTGGTGCAATTCAGCCCTGGACAGACCAGAAATCTGGATGCAGTCTGGGTAGTTTACTAACCAGACTAATCTGGTCAATATTCTGCCTGAATCTCATATTGGAGGTTTTTGTTTTTCATATCATTAAGTCATTTTATTACATAATCAGGTAACATTCACATTCTAAATTTCTTTCATCATTGACACCTACTAAGAATAAATATAGTGAATATAGAAAAAAAGTGAGTTTTACCTGCATTTTGTAGAAATCTACACCAGTCAAATGTTTCACTGGGTGTAGTCTTAATTCCTGTGTTGAAAAAAAAAGAGAAACACAACGCATTTTTTTGGTCCCTGGATGGCTGAACTATGATTCTTGCAGACTTGCCCTCAGAAAACAGTATTTCTGTCAAGCACACTGAATTCCATACACAGCTGTTACCATCTCAAGATATTCTGCACAATCCTTCCACAGTCATCAGACTGAAATTCAATTGAAAATTTTGCACAATCACACAGTGTATGAACTTCTTTAGCATCCCAGGGAATTAAGCTCACTTACACCACCCTTAATTTGGCCTTTTAAAATTTACATCAGATAATATTAGCTGAGGGAGTATATTATTCCGAAACAGATACAGGTCAGCTGAGACCCAAGTTCTTAACGCGAGGCAAAGAAAGGAAATGAAATTTATATAAAAATTAAATAGTAATCTAAACTGAATATTAATTTATTTGTTTTGCCTTATGTCAAAGATTATTTTACTAATGAAATTATTTTATTAATTTATTTAATCTCTTAGTTAGCTATTACTTCACAAGGGGCTTAAATACAGACTAAATATGGGCTAAACAGACCTCACAATGAGTTATTTCAAAACAACAGTTTTGAAAATAATTCTATTTTCTTTGAAAGTGAAATATACATAATGGAATGAGTTTTGGAATCTGTAGATGGTTATTTTTCAATAAATAAAATCGGGAGCTGTAGCTTAAGTAATCACATCCAAAATGCTGACTTGAGCGTTCCCTAGACTACTCACTTACGTAACATACTTTGGATTGATATTTGTTGGGTGTCATTATGCTGGGAACTCAAAGCATTTAAAGGAATTTGGAGTTTCAGAGAATAATCATCCAGCATCAAAACTTCTGTATGCTTTGAAGAAAGCTCAGTGTTACCTAAAGTGTTACCTTATCTTTCAGATTCCTACCGTAAGGCATCTGGGAAAACTTTTTTTAAAAGCATTAAATGAGTTGAAAATTTACGCTAAGCGACTGAAATACTGCCTTAATTAACGTCAATGGCAAAAAGCTCAACTTCAGTGGAGCCAGGACTTCAAAACCCGTACCCATTTCAGCAAAATATTTCTGGGGCAAAGAAGATAAATAAATAAACATACAGGTACTAAACACATGATTCAAATAAATTGAATGCCTTAGTCAATATTTCAAAACTCTCACCTTGAGTTTGGACATATATTTTCTTCCTAGCATCTGGCTTTAAAGAGAACGAGAAGAAAATTGACTTTCATATTTCACCACAAAAGATCTGTTCAATCTTCAAAAAACCCAACTAGTATAGCAAAATGCACAACAGCAGATTTTTTTTTTTAACTATTAAAAATCCAAACAGACTAATGGAAAGATACATTTAAGTAACACCAAACGCCAAGTCAGCTATGTTAATTACATTTACTATGAACATTTACAATATCAATGAATCAGTTTTGCAGTTAACACAATTACCAAGTCAGTACAAACATATTTTTTAGTTTATATCTGTATCCTTCCTTATAATCATTAACCTGCTTATTGCATAGAAAATTAAAATATTTCCCTAGAATAGAAAGATTTTCAACGACAGAACAGCCCTAGTTCACAAAAAATGGTAGTCTTGAAAGAAAAATTATAACTGGTTTTGAAACTACAGTCTACATTTATCCATAATAGAATTTTTAAACACATCAGGCATGAAATAAACCTCATTTACCTCTAACCTTTTCAAAAATTGCTGTCAAATATTTTTAGACTTGTCTATATGGGAAACTGGCCAGTAGTAGTTATTGCAGAATATTCCCAAATAATAATGCGTAAGATATTATTTTAAAGTAGCTATAGTAAAAGAGATAATTACTACATTTCCAAAGTTACTCCTGAAGTGCTACTATGCTAGGCAGTTAATTTAGATGATTAAATAAGTAAGTTCTTATTTCAGTACCTTTCTATAACTCCAACCACAAATTTGCGGAATACATTTTTTTCCACAATAAACATTGAAATATTCTCGGGATCTTTCCACATCGAAAAAAAAAAAAAACAAAAACAAAGCGAAAAAACCAACAACAACATTCCCCAGCAAACAAGCAGAGTTTTTTGAGCTCAAAGTTTTTGTGCAAAGCTTTGTGTTCAGACAATGACTAGTTGTTGTAAAGCACTGGTTGCAATGCTGTAAAGGAGTAAGCTAAGGAAGGTATTACTCAACTGCTGTAATCGCCAATAGATTTGCTCAATATAACCTTGTTTCAGTTTGAAATTATAACCTTTCAAGCAGTTCCACTAATGCTTAATTTAGCATTATAGCATCCAGAAACGAACAATCTTCTTCAAAGCACCAGTTTTTGCTATCTTCAGACTATGTCTTGCCTCCTTTTCGGTGCCAATTTCATTACGTAGAGGCTGTGACTCTCTGAGTCACTATTTGCCTGCCATGGCTCTTTCTAAAGTGCAGATGGAAAAAGGGCTGCTAGATTGCCCCTCCAACCATTCCACTCCTGAATGATGAGATACACTGCTCAACTCTTCAACCTAACTATTGCTACGCAAACTTGCCTCTTAATGTGGAAAGATGTTGGAATAATGTAGCCAGAGTCAACCAAGGCAGCATGTCCCATAGACACCATGTTAAGCTGCACATTAGTCTTCCCTTCTCTTTTTCCACCCCTGCCCCATCCTTAGCAGATTGTGAAATCACACCTGCAGGATAATGGCTTGAAGGCAGGAAGAGAACTTGTATTAGAAGAACAAGAATTAATGCAGAAACAAACTGTTAAGCAATCAATTCCTGAACCAGTCAGCTCAGGAAATAAGAAGCCAAGGAAGCCTTTTTTGTTTTTTTTTTTTCCACTTGCAAACATTTTGGTTTTCCTGTATCGCTCCTATGTGACTCCCCCTCCAATCCACTGCCTGGTCATAACAGTCTATTCTAGTTATTGAAAATGAACTGGAAAAAGAAATGGACAGAAAAGAGGTCATAAAAAAGTGAATACCATCAACAAGAGGTTCACAGATGGGAAAGAGGTGGTTTCCAAGAATCAGAGTGAATTAACTAAGTCACAGAAACTATATGAGCAAACAGCAAATCCACACATAAATGAAGTGGGGAGAAAAATAACACTGTTTACGCAACAGTGGAAGACTACAGATATTCCATGGACTTTATCTTTCAAAAGCTATATGAACTTCCGTGTTCAAAGCATTTAAAAATAAGAAAAAATGGTTTAATAGGTTATTTTATTACTTAACATATCCTGGTCCTTCTCTTAGCTACGAATAAGTAGTATTTTAAATTATATTGGCTCTTACAATCCCCCAAAAAGCCTTGCAAACACTTAAGACGACATTGCAAAGTGGAGGCTAACTTCAGAATTTAAATTTGCAGGACAAGTGGGATAGCTGAAAATAAGTGCTAGGACATAGATGCAACAAAACAGAACGTGGAAAAAAGCAGATGGGGCAGAGGGCAGCTTAAGCCAGCCTTGCCTCCATAGCTAACACACTGTATAGTTCTGCCTCAAACTCTGGTGGGTGAAGATAGGCTTTCAGATCCCTCAAACCACTAAGTTTCAAAAAAAAGATTAAGTTAAGCATCTGGTTTCATGCTCTGCTGGACCTTTAACTGCTTACAGTGAGTAAACATAATCCTGCCAGGGCTTGGGTCATCAAGAATAGCAGGAATAGTGTGTAACAGGGAGTAAAGAAGGATTCACACTTTATAGATCAATTTTCTGTTATGTTCTTTATTTTAAATGGTCTTGATGAGAATGGAAAAATGAAATTGAATGCTAATAAAACGGCTTAGGTAATTCTTATGCACCCATTTTACACTACTGAAATAAAACACTGACCATAACCACAAGATCTTTACAGTATTTCAAACTCACTTGGAATACAGATTATTACAAATGCTGTATTATGTACTTCATAATTAAAGATAATTTATCCGATGCAATAGAAAAGAATTTGTTGGAAGGTACAGCCCTTGAGCACAGTGCAATTGCTTACATGTTCATAATTTAAATTCTTAATTGGCTGTCTAACTAATAAAGCACACCTTAGAGGAATAATGCAATTCACATTTAGGTGAGTTAATATGTAACGAGTGTTAGTATTCTATGACCTAGGTATGGAAAGATGTATTCATATTCTTATTTTTTGTATTCATATTCTGTTTGAAGGTGAAGGTAAATGGGTTGCATTTGCTCTCACCCTTTATATGAAGATACAGCTGGAAAAAAACCCAAAAACTCCAGTGGTGATTTCAAAATTATTTCAAAGTCCATTTCTCCTCCTTATACTCTTACTTTTTTCTCGCATAAGCTCTATGACAGAACCTGTGTCCTTTCCTGTTTACTCATCATTAAGTTCATTGTAGTAACTACTAAAACCAAGTTATATTTGTAATGTAAATACCAGCTCCTATGTCTGCTCATGTATCCTTTTAATGCAAATAGATTAAAAAAAGAAATAAATTCATGCTGAAACAAAGTATTGAACATTAAATTGTTCTGTTGTGCAAGTTCCACCTCTAAGTGATTTTTTTTTTAGGCAAGGGTGTATTAATGATCATATTATGATGCAAATTAGAACTGAAGAGATACCAAGCAGCTAGTTTCTACTTCTTGCATTTATTGTTCAGATGATGTTTCACAAGATGGGATGAGTGGAGCTAACAGCTCACTGCAGCTGGAAGAGGGGGGACCTGCCTTGATCTTTCTATCCCAGTATGTTGCCCCTTACTGTCCGCCAAATAGTTCCTGCTTAGCTTTCGCTGGATATGGTGCTCAACGCAGCACCCTCTAATCCAGTACAAGTCTTTAGCCAACAAGTTAGCTGGAAAGCTAACCTTGCACAGAAAAACAGCTGGGCCATCAAGCTCAAGCTGGATCAGCAAGCCCTGCTGCCTGGTGTGGAGTTTTCCCACAGGTTACCAGTGCAGCCCAACGCTATCCAAAAGCACTCCTTGTCCTCAAATGAATGGCAGCTCTTTATTGCCTTACGCTGCTCTGCAGAAACCAGGATTGAAGACTGTCTACTTCAAGGATTTGTCTCAGTTTTCTCCACTGGCAGTCTGCCATCAACTCAACCACCTAAGGGTTGACCCAGTCTATTTTCAAACAGGAGCATCAGATACTAAAAATAATTGTACTGACTGTCTGAAGCAGACTTGAAATATAGCAAATGCAATGGTATCTACTAAATGAAGAGAAAGAGAACCAACCATTATTACTGCCAGTTCTTTGCTGGCTAAATATCTCCTTAAAATACATTGCCAAATGTATTTAACCACTACACTGTTGGATGAAAATAATTTTATTCAGTATTTTTCCATATATCATTCAGCACAGCGTGTTTCATTTTATTTTCAGAAGGAGAGATGAGTTTTAAGAAAGTTAAGTGCTATTTATGTGCTACATATCCCTCAAGGCCTGGTCCACAGGGCTGTATATCACATATTGCTGGGCTTAGCATAACTTCAATTTTAGCTCTGCAGTTCACCTTAAGAAGTTCATTCTATTTCCACTGTTGACAGAACAAGTATTTTCAAATTATTCTTCCAAATTCTTTATTGTAAGTAAAGCTATTTAGTGGAATTTTGACAACATAAAGTTTATTAAATGATGCAAAAAGAAACAATATATGCATATGGCATCAGGAGAGACTCGATAACAGCAGCAATGATTAGTTTTAAATGTTACAGAGAAGCACTTCTGAAACTACTGTATACTCTTTTCAAATACTAAACAGCTTTTAAATGCCAGATCTATTTGACCTGTCGAATTACATAAATATGAAATGCTTTCTCTGAAAGGAAAATCAGGAATAGAGAATATGAAGATTATTACAATTCTCTAGCATTATTTAGAAAACATTTTAGTAGAATGCACTGTTGATAATACTATAAGCATCACCACCATCATGTAAACATACCCACTCTGCTGCTGCCAGTTCCTTCATTTTCATCGTGAAAGCCACTGCAAACCTAGTTAAATGGACAAAAATAGTTGGGATCATCTGCTTAAAGTGTTTAAACGTAAAAACAGAAAAGTACTTCAGAAAAAAAAATCTTTCTAAGAACAAAGAGCAGAGGCTTATAAAAATTATTATAGATGGAAAGACAGAAAGCAGGCTTTCTATTTGTTTTAGCAGAAAATACTGGTAAAAAAGAAAAAGGTTTTACAACTTAGAGCTCTTGGGGAGATAAAGTGAGGATTTTTTAAAGAGAAAAACCAATAACGGGAAGATCCCCCCATTTATCTAGATTAATATACACAGCTGCAGTAGTGAGTGAGCATTTCCTGTTTCTACCTCATTGTAAGTTGCAACAGCCACAGCCTTCACAGCCAGAAGGCTAGACTAGAAGGGATCTCAAGTCCAGTTAGTTTCATACTATTGTTATTTGACAATACCTAGTCCCACTGTTTGCAACTCATTGCAACTGAGTTTAATTCAAACAAACAGATGGATTTTCTTTTAAACCTTTCCCTAATGTTCTCTCCTTATTTCTACATAGTCAAAGCTGGCAATGACAAACAAACATCTGGGAGACCAAAACGTTATTCTTCAGGAAACATACAAAAATTAAATAAACTCAAAAAGAAGAAAGATGATCCTGTGACGGGGCTTCAACTCTGGAGTCTCACAGACTTGGGATGCTCAGCTCTGTAGCTCTGAACGTTAGGCATCTGCAGTGGAGATTAAGTTTGCAGTGCTGAGTTAGACACCTGATATTGCTTTATAATAAATAGGGAAGAATTGGGTGCCCAGAAATGCAATTTACCACAGTCATCATTTCAGGCAAAGAGACCATTACATTAGCAGACATAATACCAATGGAAGGGCATTTTGACTGTTCTCTGGTTAAGACTTTTCTTTGTTATGAGAAGGGCATTTAAATGAATGAACTGTAGAATAGTATATGAACACCATCTACTCCTCCTCTGTAACGTATATAAATCATAAAGCCAAAGTGAAAACAAGCAAACAAAAGGGTATTTGAATAACTTAGTGGCTAGAGTTTTCATCTGGGAGGGAGAAGAGAATTCTATTCCCAAAGTTACTTCCACCTTTCCCTTATGGCTGTTCATAATGGCTCATCTGGACTTCTTAATGTGCCTTTGAGAAATTTATGTAATACACTATCATTACACATAACAGAAAAGTTATGACGGAGACCATTTAAAAGCAGCATTGATATGCACAGTTTTCATTTTTGGGTGTCTCATTACAAAGATACTTCAGCCACAGAAGTCTGATTTCTACGCATACTAGATAAATAAGTTATTCTTACTGGGGACTTGGTGCAATACCAAGAAGTCATATGAGATATTTTTATGGAGTCAGAGCTAATAAGGAATCCCTGTTCAGAAGAGATCTTAAGGACATGCTGGGCCTTAATGTAGCTTTTAAGTTGTGATGAATTATAAACACATGCTTTGACTGTTCTTAAATGGAACTTAGTGTTAACTAGAACCACAAATGGGATAATTTCTGAAGATTATCAGTCCCGTGGAACAGAAATGTTTGAACGCCTCCTTCATATGAGACATAATGTGTCTGTTCAGCAAAATTCCCTTTTTTTAATTACTTTTATAGTTATTGAATATAAAACAGAGTTTATCACATATTACATTTATGATTCGGTGTCTCTTTTTCATAGAATTAATGTAATGTTTCTGTCCTGAGCCAACCCTATGACATCTCAATGGTTAGAGGTGAAAAACATTGCTAAGTCACAACCAGAACAGTGCTTTTCATTCCGAGATGTTATAATTTGAGGACATGAAATCATAATCATACATTAGAAGTCACATAAATGCTGAATTATAACTCCTACTTTCATTTGTTGAAACCAGCCTTATACCCATACATTTGTTTTCTAGTATCTGCTTTATGGTACTACAATGAATTTGACATATACAACCTGACAGCTTGAAGATTATTAAAGCCTTTGCAAATGCTCGTTTTGTCAAGTTGCACATGCTCCCTTTCCAGTTTTTGCAATTATACTTTCAATACATCACATTAACAAGCAGAAAAAACTGTTGCTCCTAAGTCTACAAAATACTGTTCAATAGAAAAAAACACCCTAGAGGAGTACAACCACCATTTAGAGGAATTCGATTAAAAATGAAACACTCATTACAAAGCTAGACAGTGTTCAATAGTTTGTTTTACGGAATGCGGTAGTATATTGTACCGGACAAGTAATCTACAATTCATGGTACTTTCTGCTTAGAACCCTGCAATCAATAAAGGAAAAAAAAATAATCAATGTTTCTTTTAATAACTATGCAATGAATAATACTAGTGATAATACTGGAGAAGAGAGCCATTTAGAATAACTTCTAGAAAACTGAATTACTTTTCCTGTAGCAGAGAAAATATTATGAACTGCATAAGGATGCAGTAATAGATTTTGAAACATCATAGGAAATCCAAGCTACTAAACTGTACTTCAAGATCCTAACTCAATTATCATTAAAAAAACATTCAGTAAAGCATAGGCTTTGCATAAGCTATATTAGATATATTTGTGGCAAATCATATTTTAAACACAGAACTGGATCAAATGGACACACTCAGAGATTCTGTTTTTATATAATTTTCGTTTTGCACCATGCTGAAATTTAACTGACACATTAGTTGTATTTTTTCTCTTCCTTCAGACCCGTTGAAAGAATAACTTCTGATTATTTGATAAGAAAAGTAAACAAGAATATAAATTTTGTCTTGAATGGGGCCTCAAGTCACACAAAGATGTAAGAACATGCCCTAATGATTTTTCAATGAGTGTGATTAAATGCCGTCTTTAAAATCTCTTTACCTACCACATTTTATGGGGCATTATAGACAGAACAGCATATCTATGCCAGTGTTAAGTTAGCTAATAATAGCTAGAACATACAGTGGTATTAGCAAAGATAAAACTATGAGATATAAGCCTGCTGCAGATTCTGCATGTACTTCCTCACTGCTAACATGAACCAAAATCCATACTGCCGTATCTGAACACCTGTAGTTATCCATCTTAGCTAGAACGCCGCAATGAACAGACAGTGTCCTGAGCAAGTTCTGTTCACCAACGTATTTAAGCTCTGCTAAAGTATGCAAGCAGTACCACTGGGTTTGATAAGATGTTCCAGGTGCTTAAATTTTATCACACCTACTACACTCAGGGACCCCTTTTGCTCATGCAGAGCTCAATTCTGGAGTGATGACTCTCCAGAGTACTCAAGTCACCAGCCACAGTACAGTTCCACGAGGCTGAGCAACCTGCTCTATCATCATACTGCCACCAAAAAAGACATCCCTCCACAAGCTGACTTTTCTTATTAAAGTGGTAGAAAACTAACCCAGGGGTGAAATAAGCCAATTTTATGACATTTAGTGAGTTAAGCCTGCTCAGAAAGCAGTCCAATCCTGGCACAAGGAAGGGTGGGTAACACAGCCACAAGCAAGAGAAAGGAGGAGAGGAATGGTGGTAGCAGTAGATCCATCCCTGCCATCATTGAACTATTACACTGGCTGCACATGAAGTGACAGCCTTAGACTCTGTCATGATGAGACTTAAACTATGTATTAAAATAATTTCATCCATTGGAAGATTTACATCCATAAAATGCTTTAGTTTCCAATAAGAAAAGGGTTTATTGGCCCCACCATGGACATTATCAAACACTGTTGAAGTCAACAGACCTCTGGATCAGGCAGAAGGAAAGTTCTTTTCTGGAGACATTGAAGCAATGAGAAATCATGCAAAACCCTTGTTTTTTAGTCATTTTCTCCCATTTCTGATCAGTTCTTGAACTACATTTGATGACTACACTGACATGTCACTGGAACTTTTCTGGACTTCAGAACACCCTGAAAATACTCCCTTGTCAATTCACCTAAAAAGTAGAGAGAATTTGCTTAAAGACTTTTTTCAGTCTCTGCTTCTTTGTTCAAGTATCACATTAGCAGGATAAAAGAACAAAAGGTCTTTATACTTGAGTCACCTGCTTTTCAATCAACCATTATACCAACAATCTAAATGTGAGGCCTCCCAGAACAGGCTGCAACACGACAAATGCCAGTTACTTGTAGTTGTTGTCTCACTTAAATCAAACTGCTGAGCACCTTGGTCTGTGTGTACAGATAGCACTTAATGCATAAAATATGTTAGCTCCAATAGAAAATATTTTATATGTTTGAATATATGTAACATAAACCAGAACTTACTACAGAGGTTTAAAAAAAAAAACCACAACAACTTGGAGCAACATTTAGCACTTCTGGCCCAGGCCTTGGCAAAGAGGGTCCAACTTTGTTTAGGCTAATAATATTACTACAGTAAGATTTAACGAGAATATTCATACCTCCACTACTAACAAAGATTTGCTATTTAAATAATCATACCTCTACCACCAAATCACCATTAACCACCTCTACTACTAAAGATTCATAATCTAAATACCAAATATCAGTCATTTCATGGCCAGGTTAGTTCCATATAAGTGAGATCTGTATGGATATTGTTGGAGATACTTAGATGTGCATTTCTTTACCTAAATCTCTGCAAATATAAACAGTCTAAAATAATTCTGGTAAGAAATTAAAACTTGATTCTATAAAATTGTATCCATTACAAACACATCAAATAAACCACAGTCAAGTTGCTACAGACCACAGTTATACTAACCATCAAAGGCTGTCTTTATAACGTCTACCCATAAAGTGGATTATTCTACAGGGCAGTATGCTGCCAAATCCCAGGTTAAGTATTATTCTTCTCATTTCTTTTACCTGCCTTAGAATTTCATATCCTTATCACATGCATAATTATATTATTCTAGAAAACAGTTATGATTCAGTAGACAAAGGACAGGATTAGTTAGCAAGAGCACAGATTTCATTAGCTTTTAATGGGATTTGAGTCTTTTCGAAAATTCACAGCCCAAGAGACCAAGTTTCAGCCCTACCTCTGCCAATTCTTACATGGAAAAATACGATGAAACGATTGTAACAGAGGAAATAGAAAATGAATAGACTGCATACAGACTATATTTTATGAAGAAACTGTTCTACTTCCATCACTGAATCATAAAATAATATGTAGACATCATAGGGATTTCAAATAGTCTATCATTTGTCTGCTGGCGTACACATCTCCCAGTGATTCCAAGCATTTATTGAACAGTTCCTAAAAGATCTGCCATTACAAAAATGTAATTTCCTGTCATAAACCTTCCATACATGCTTTTACCTGGCTTCACCTAGCACTGCTCCCATTACTCGATGCTTCTCTTCACATTTGATATCTTCATTTACATCTGTCCCACCAAAGATGATTCCAAAAGGAATTTCACTACCTGCAAAGCAATGACTACAATGAGAAGCTGACCAACATGTCAAGGTAATGACCAGAAGGGAACATTAAGATTGACAAAGTATATTGATAATACTGTATCACATATGTAAGCAAAAGCCTTTGAAAAAGAATCCTTGAGAAATTTGAATTTTTATGATTTTGGCACTGAAAATCCCATACAATTACTACGCACTTTCACAGCAAGTCAGTCTGTTGTGTAGCTATCAGATTTTCTTTGCCTTTTCCATGCTTTGTAAAAACAATCAATTAGTTTCTACACTTGACAGCCCAACAAAAAGCATATATACTTTAAATACTATTCACATCTTAATAAGAGGCAGTATTGCAAAGTCCCAGGTATCCAGCCTCAGCCACTCATGCGCTGTCCCATCAAGCATTCCATTATGGTGGTTTGGGTGACCATCCTGCAAAGTTGGTTACTGAAATTATTTTTGTTTCTTTTTTTTTTTTTTAAATGTTGACTTTCAAAGCCAATTGTACTGCTACAAAAACTGTAGATAGACCCACACCACCAGACAAGGTCACCAAATTAAATAAGGCAGTATATGTGAACCTGCAGCAAAACCATTGTTTTGCCTAATTCCATCCCAAAAGATGGATCTGTGGTTTATAATTGGTTGTTCCAAGATCTTCTGTGATCGCCAAGCTATGGAAGTTGTTTTAGGATGCCTTGCAGTGCTCAGAACAGTAAGAGCAGAGGAAGGCATGCTGGCTGTGGGACAGTCTGTATTCAAGACCTTATCAACATTCAAATTTTCGAGTACCAACAAAAGCGTATGTATCCTAGTGGTGTCTGCACCCATGTAAAAGCCTAGTTTTGATACACAGCATCAGAATAAATTCATATTTGCATAAGGGTAAAGCCACCAAAACAGGGTAGAGTAGCACTTCTACTCTAACAGTAGCTGGATTTACATGGACAAGGCCAAAGGCTAGTTAGATTAAAATACAAAACCCAATAGTAGTGTAAGATTCCTTTCTAATAGTATTTCTTTCCTTGGAGTCAGGTTATTTTTAGTAACTGACAAGTTACCAGTAACATTCTCCCCTTAAAATAATCAACATAGCAGACAATAATGTTTACTGTTGATTGTTTCAGCACTGAAAACAATTAAGTGGTCAGTTTTACACCACATTAATCTAACAAATAACACTCATGGTGGCTAATTACTACATGCAGAACATAGTTTTAAATTCCAAATGGGATTGCAGTTTTGCAAAAGAAACAATCTCCAATAAGACAGCCTAAAAGACCTTAAAAAATTAACCCTAAAAAAACCCCTAAAAATTAAAGTGATCAATTTTGTGGATTTTGCAGATTTCTCTAACAGATGAAACCAAGGTTTCCTCTGACTGTGAAGAAGAATAAGCGCTTAGGCTGTATTGCCACTACACACTGTGCATCAAGAAAGGCAGAAAATACACTTTGTTTTTTCCCTTTTGCTATTGGATGGAAGGCAAGAGGGATCAAGGACTCAGTAGCCAACACTGTCCTCAGCGCTGGACCAACGAGCAGGGGACAAGAGATAACTGTGTTGATAGAGATTATTCCTTTTGAGAGATAATATAACTGACGTTGACTGTTCATGCCTGTGGAAGCTATTGGAGACACTTTCTATAGCGACCCACAGTGTCTTAAGCAGTGTGTTGGGGGGGAAATACAGGTTAAAAACAGTGAACTCTCACAATCAAAATTCATTGCTAAAAACAAGCAAGTAAGGAAATGTTAAAGCAAATGGGGAACAAAATAAGTATGTTGATAAAGACAGAAAACATACTGTGTGTTTCACATGTATATTTGAAAATAAAATGAGCTGCAAGATGAGGATTTATTAGCATTGCTAATTTGTTAAATTACTAAATGAAAGAACAAACAAAAAGAATTAAAGACTAATTACTATTCTGGTTACTTAAAGACTTTCCTTGGCATTTTTAGGTATTTAATGTTTGTGAAGAGAATTAATGTGCATTATCAAAGCACCACAGCACTAATCTTTAAGAGGCTGACTTTCAGTAATGCAATACAAAATATATATTGTCTTCCTAACAAATAAAAAAGTAAGTAATTATTATGTCATCTATTACATGTGTTGATTGTACATCCCCAATCATGTAAACAAAGTTTCCAACATGAGGCCCAAAAGATAGGTAGTATGGTAGTAACAGCAGTATGACTGTAATCACTAAATTTCCTTAAGGTATTTCTTAATACAGAGTATGGAAAGATTAAATGTTAACAAGAATCAGGAATGTCCTCTGAATCGCTTTTTCCTTCAAGAAGTCCACAATAACTTTTACACTTTCATTAGGATCATCCCAGCAATCATACTAAGTACTGTCTTGCTTTTCACAGATTTGTTTTATTTTTCTTTCAGTTATTGCAGATGCTTGAATGATTTACAAAAGCTCAGTAACTTAAATAGGTCAGAGTCACACTGTTCCAAAAAGCGTAAAATCATAGTATCATCATAGCTGATCATAGAATCATTCAAGTACCAGGCTTTGTAGGTCACTTGGGATTTTGAAAAGTTAATAGCAACAGCATCCGGGCAATGGTATGCAAGTCAAAACCGCAATAAAGTTTTACAGTAAACATTTTAAATCCAACCTTATTTTTAGTCCCTTGGAAAAAAAGATAGTTCTAAGACCTTCCATAAGTCTCCTCCAAAACAATTCTAGGTCTTGTCACAAAACCAGTATCTATATTCCAACAAGAGAAGTCTTAATACATATGTTAGCAGAGATCATCTTACAGATTTTTTTTTTTTTACTTGTATGCTAGGATCCCTACTGAAATCAGAGCTCCATTGTAACAAAAGACACATAAGCATGCCAAACATCATAATTCAGGCCTTCTGAAAACCCACCAGGACAAATTGTGAGGGGGCTTCTGAAGTCTGAAAAGTAGCATAACACAACTTATACTGAGATCGGATGAAAGTATCAAATTATGTACCTTTGTCCAATACAGAGGTTTGTAGGACAGGAATGCAATCTCAAAAACGGATATACACTTGCAATTTCAGTAGGTGACAGCATCTGTAATTTTGAAAGCCTTTGCTTCTGGTGTATCATTAAGGGTAGGCTAAAATTTTGTTCTACATGGCTAGATACAATAGAAAATTTTATTATTTGTATGATAACATCCTGTCTCCTACAGTTTAGCTGACACGAATGACATCTCAAAGTTATTTCATGTCCAAAAAACCCTGACTCATTTTTGAGCAGAAAAATCAAATTAGCCTCTCTGCTTTCTTCTATTTGACCTCAGCTATACTTAGCCAAGCCACTGTCCTCTGAAAGAACACATTTGCTGAAAGTATCTTAATGTTAATATAATACTCTTATCTTAATGTAGTTAAAGTACTTAATTATGACATGCACTATGTGCTCTAAATGTACATTTATTTAGTTCTCTCCTCTCTGGATCAGATCTCCCGCAGAGAAGGATTTTCAGCATTTCTGAACATCTGTTGAAGTGGATAAACAGAATAACTACATTACATGTGCGTTTATACATTTATAGCCATTTTTAATTGTTTGTATTCATTCTCTTCTCTTTCAGTACCTTTTTAAGAGGTATTTTTGTTGCAAAATAGAAAGAGGATTACCTTGCAGAAGTCTGCCTGCTTTATAAAGATGAATGGCCAGGGCTGCATCAAACTTGTCTGTGGAGGTTAGATTTGCTATTTCAGTTGGGCTTTCATACATGAAAGCATCTTTAAGAATGCAGATATGACCAGCAGCGTGTAGATGACTCCTTCATTATTGGAACAAATAGAAAAAAAAATGCTATTAATGTTGTAGGCATGCCAGTATATTAAGATTAATCAAAGGGTTTTTCCTTAATAATTTTTGCTCCAACATTCACCTTTATGCTAATTTTGTTCAAGCAACCATGGAGCTGTTTACAAGGTGGGGGGGAGGTCCTGGAAAATTTTGGTTACCTTCACCATTGTGAAGCCACAGTCCCAATCGCAAGCAACATAAACTGCACCTGTTTTAAGGCCCAAGCCTACACAGGATAAACACCACCTGTGGAAATCAGGTGAAGCCAAGTATGATCAGGATCCTTCCTGACTGAAAAGACTCCTTTTGAATTGAGTGTGTTAGACCTTGATCTTAGAGACTCTCAGATCCTTGTTCTGGAGAAAGGCCACCAAGTGAAAGAAAACAAAAATATGTCCAGCTAACCAATACTATTAAAAATACAGAACATGGAAATAAATGTTTGCAGGTGCAAAAAAAATGAATAAATAAATAAAACTGGAGAGTTTCCTGTCCGATTGTGGGTTTAACTGTGTCTTGTCTTAGTTTACCCATTTGTAAAACAGGCACAGGATAATTGAAGTATAAGAAAAAAATACACAAAAGTAATTACACAAACACTTTCACAGTCCTTTTTTAAAAAATCTCAATTGCAAAAAAAGAAAAAAAAAAACACAAAACAACAAACCCTGCTATTCTAGTGTCAGCTTACCCATTCACCTTTATATACAGTGGTTCCTCGTATTAAAACATTGATTAAAAGACTGCCAAAGTCAAGAAACTGATTGATTACAGGGAGCTTTACTTTAGGCATTTCAGTAAGCTTTGTTTTAGTCTCTCCTTTCATACTCTAGGTTCATAACTCCTCCCACCAAAACCAGAATCAGTTATCAATGTTTCCAATTACATCAGCCAAAAAACATAGAGGTGAAAATCCATGTTTTGATAGAAACTAGCACACTGTATCTGCTTACATATAGTGTTTACATTTTCAATATTATAAAAAGACCACAAGAATGTTTTCTGCTTATTACATATTGTTCCAGTTGATTTATTTCTCATAGCTTATTAATTGTTCTGGCATTAAAATCCTGCTAACTCAATAGCTTCTTGGATAATGTCGGCTCTTTCCTTTCCTGATCATTTCACATCCTCCCAAGAAATGTAATTTTCTGTCCTGCAGAAGTTAGTCATTACTGCAGAAATTGGTGCTAAAAATGCTGTAAAATGTCTTGAGGCCTTGGAAGGAATGTATTAGCACTATATCAGACAGAGCTCCATTGGCACAACATATGGTGCTGTATTTCTTCCTTATCCTAAAAAGAAACTAATTTTACTTTTAACTTCACCATTTGAAACAAGACCAATAAATTATAATAAGTACTAATAAGTAATAAAATACAGCCAGATTGTAAGCTCCTTATTTACACTGTTGAGCAATTATTTACATCAGTTGTCCCATGAACTTGTACCAAGTACCTGCTTGCCTTTTGAAAGAGGCTCTCAATTTATATCTAAATAATGATGCCCAAATCTCACAGCTGTGGAAAGAAAATCTCTCGGGCAAATACTTGGGATGCTTGTGCATGCATTCCATAATTTCACAGGTGCTCATTAAATAGTCTAAAAGAATTTTTTCCCATCAGTATTCCAATTACCATAAATTACTATCATGTACAAGCAATATGTTTGCATATTACAATTAATTTGAAAATAACTCTCTCAGGACATCTAGAAACTCAGCAAGGAATTTCGATCTAAAGCGCCTTTTTTTTTTTTTAATATACTAGGAATGAATACTTTTCCTTTCTTCCACAGTTTCCACAATTCCAAATCTCACAGCTGAATGACAGCTGTTTCTGCAGTAAATAGAGGGGGAACTCCCTCGAGTGTTCCAAAGGCTCATAAATTGTGGATTACCTCTATTACTTCAATTTCTTTTCTACATTTAATGACTCGGGAGCATGTAAAAAATTTGCATATACCTTAAGAAGGAAAAATTATCAAATTATTCCTAGAATAATTCAAATTCTCGGATGTAAAGAGCCCTTAATCCCATAAACATACCACTGAGTTCAATATGATTAGTCACAGGCTTCAGATTATGCATATATGGAAATATATGTGCGTAGAAGCAGAGTTATTGGGTAGTATTTAAGTACTGAAATTTACAGTGATATTTTCATATTTTCTAAATGACTCTTCATCTTTATAACCAAAAAAAAAAGCAGACTATGATTTTCACACTTATGCTGTTAACAAGGAACATTGTAAGAGGGTGCTGCAAAGCTATTGCAGGAGACTTTTTTTGAATGCTGATCTGTCTATGAAGTCACAGATGTCCCTGAATCGAGCCAAGACAGAAGAGATACATTACCCGTATCTTGCCTCCTCCTGGCAACTGTGTATTCACATTATTTTGCCGTTTCATAAACAAATACTTTCCAAATGAAAAATAAAAATGAACACATCTCCTGCTGTCTTTGAATCTAAGACAACACTGAAAATGCTAAATCTCAAGGCTACATTTTCTCTCTATCACAGTTTTGTATGTTGTAGATAAATTTCCAAGCAAGTGTCTTAACAACCAGTGATTATTGCTTGAATCCAGAATTGCCTTGCTGTGCCGTATTTTTTCCTTCTACCGAAACTCTCATGAAAGCCAATGCCACTACTTGGGGAGAATAATATTTCTAAAACGGAATTTGGCTGTCAGATTCCAGATTTCGGGTGCTTTGCTAGGAAGTAACCGAACAGGGAAAACTTCCATCACTCAGTAAGTTTGAAAGACCATTTCTTGAGTACATTGTATTAGTCACTGCTTATACTGGGATATTTATACACATCTGAATGTTGGACAAAATATTTCCCAGCCCCACCGATTTTAGTATTCAGGTAATTAATCTTTTTTGTTATATTTTTTACACTCTTTGGAAATCATGAGGCTTATAAGTGAAACTTCTAAGTGTCTGCTTTGGATCTATACTGTATGCAGAGAGATACCGCTAAAAAGTACAACCCTTTTCTGACACAAATTTTCACTTTCTTAAAGATTTCTACAGATAAACAACTATGAAATACCAGGTGATATTATACACTGTTTCATTTTTTATTTTCTATATTATTGATCACAACTTCTCACTTATCCTGGCTAGCAGTCTTCCCTCCTTCAACCTGAATCTGCAGTTCACAGGTCTTCATATACAGAAACAGTTTTATAGTTCCAAACACAGCATGGCTGAAGCTAAGACACAAGTGAGTTAACAGTACACTTACTGCTAAAGTGTTATAGTTTTGAAACTTACTTTATTTTCTGAGACATCTTCCTCTCAAAAACATTTATGTTTTAATTTTCAACTGATATTTCAATGGAGTTAATGGCAGACAAAAACCGTTTGATTTCCAAAAAGTTCCTGGTAGGTAGATATACTGATACTTCTCAAATGGCACAAAATAGGCTTAATCCAAAAATATTAATTATCTCTTTCCCTAAGCTGTCTATTCCGTAAAGCAGCTATGCATCAACTACTGTAAAATCTATACAGCACAATTCAAAGCTTATTAAGTGAGCAGAGTCACTTCCACCGCCTTTTCTGAAACTCAGCCAGAGCTGAATACTCGCAATTCCTATTGAAATGGATGGAATTACAAGAGTAATGCTTGATCTTCTCTCTTTTCTTTGTAAGTTATTTTAATTTTTTTCATACTTGTTAAAACAAAGTATTCCTTTTATTTCTCTCTCAAACTTCTCCTTTAAACAACACAGACAAATAGTGTTGGCATGAATGAAGTATGAATAAAATCCACTGTGAGTAAGAACAGAAATTTAAATTGTGAGCGAAAACAGGGAGCGAATTCTTCTGCCTCTATTCTGAAGTCAGTAACTGTCCTTTGGAAGGACAAAATAACTCTGCAAAGTTTAATCCTGCCTTATAAATAGGTCTAGCCATGCAAAACCTTTTGGTATGCAGCATACATCAAGTGCAGGCCATGTAAGTGATTGTATCTCAGTTCCAGAGGTGGACGATGAACGTCTGCCTCAGTGGCTGTCCAGCTCTGGGAACGGTCACGCAAACAACAGCAGGGAATTACCAGCGCCTGTGCAAACCCACAGAGATAGGTACAAGACCACTTATGATCTACCATGAGAAGAGGATCTCCTGCTATACAAGTGCTCCTCTGTGTGATTTTAATGGTGGCAGATAAGCTAAGACTAAATCGAAGAAAAGTTGGGGCTCAAAATTACTCCAATAAATGTCTAAGCTGAAAAATAACTGGAAAGAGGAATGATTAGCATTATTGAATTTGTGGGTTTAATTCTCTTGCAGTTGATTACCTGGAGATTTACAGAACAGCTATCTCAACTGTCCCATTTCAAACGAGAACGGAAACAATCTCTCCCTCTCCAAAAGATATTTACATATTGATAAAATACTTCATCTAAATCTTTCTAATTAACCAATTAATTCAAGATTTCTATTCCTCCTTACTACCAAGTAATAAAAGATGAATGGAACACTTCGAGGGGCACAGGAGATTCATTTATTTTCTTTCCTAACACCTTCTTTGATCTCATTGCTAAGGCTGAAGAATGGCAGCCTAACCAAATACTTTTGCTTAGTTTTTTATTCTCTACTCATTGCTCATATTTTTTAAGGTGATTAAAGATTATGCACACCAATACTAATAAAGCCCACAGCACATTCATTATATCCCTTGTTTTAGCAAGCTGACTTCTAGCCAAATTAGATTCTGGTATCTTTGTCACCAGTTACTTTAAACTCAGGAAATGAGTATCTTATTTATGAAAAGATGAAGCAGTTATAGGAACAGCTGTAATATCATAAACATAGTATACCCAGTGATATTAAGCCATAAAATTAATCTATGCTGGCAAGTGTCCAACCTGGAGACAACTTCATTGTTTTATTTATACTTAACCAAGAGTTAAGTTGGTTCAATATAAAATAAAAATTGAACAAATAAATTCATAAGCATGTACACAGATACAGCTGAGGCCAAATATTAACTGGAGAATACATTTTCTGTCTATTAACACATACGCTACAAAGGTTACCATATGCACTTAACCTCAAGTATCGCAAATTAGTGCAAGAAGTGACATGCCCGAGCCTTTGGCCAGACATACAGATTTTATTTTTTTTTTAATGGCATGAAGTCTTAAGAAAACCAGTATTAGATGGAATTATCTGTGTAGGATGGTTTTAGTGATAGCTGTCACTTGACTGGCCTTTTAGTCAGGAAGATGGATTTAATTGCTAGCTAATACTCTTCACTTTTTTTCCTGATCAGACTTTTTTTTTTTCCCAAATGGCCTTGTTTATATCATTACTATAAATAATATTTATGGTAGGTGATAAGATAGCAACTGAACATGACGTAAGTTACTGACTCTCAAACACTATTTCTGACAATCCTTTATCCACCTTTATTGTGAATTAAATTGACCTTTCACTAATTATTTCCTTTCTGTTTGAAGGTCTATGTGCATGAGAAAGCAGCATCCACTTTGTACAAGGTATGCCTGTAACGCAAGAGGATGCTAAAGCAAGTTGGTGTACTCCACACAGATCGCTGCAGATGTGTTCACGTAGCTGCAAATGATTGCATTAACATGGTAATACATTAAACCATCTGTCAACTGAGCTGTTGCATCTCACCAAGCCGATGCCCTCTTTCATACTAAAACCCATCAGCTCAGGCCACCGTGCATGAGTCAGAGCTGGAGAAGACTAACCAAAATTGCTGGCTACCGTGACTCACGTAAACACACCTTGCTAAACCACCGTGTCTCAATGCAATATGCTCACATGATCACAATCAATCTCAGTGTAGTTAAAAGACAATTTGAAATAATATGTGGACATTTGTTTGTCTGGCTTATTCAGGCTTAGTTTAACTAGAAATAATGCAAAAACAGCTTTCCACTGGATTACCTCTGAATGGCTCCACAGTCTAAATGTTTGCCTGACTTTCCTCATTTTGACATGGAAGATGAAGGTAAGCGAATATTTAATTTGTAAAGGCAGAAGAAATAATCTTATGGAGGAAGAATGAGCATAGACATCCCCAAGAATAACTAGTTTTGTATTATCCAGTGAGAGCAAAAGATTAAAGATGAAAAGAAACGCAGAATGCCACAGAAACCACCACACATGAACTCTGTGCTGACACGTGCCAGTAAAAAGTGCGTATTATAAACACAAGAACATATTTGTTTATCTCAACATTTTATCAATAATTATTCTTTTAAAATACAGAAAACTTCAGCTTTATCTGGTCTTCATGCTCCATTTGCTTTATATCTTCAATGCCTGGGTGACTGATGTGAGGCAGCAGGTACGTACCACCACTGACTTATACAATACAGTAGCCCTGCAAAAAGCTAAGGCTGAACTTGGTATGACACAACTAGTGTGAAAACTTAATGTCAGAGGACTATTTCTATGTATAACATCTAATACAAAGTCAGGGAAAACATGTAATAGCAGAAGAGATTAATCCTAAGAAAAATAACTAAACTGTGGGTGACTCTTTTACAGGTAAGAAGCAACCAAGTCTTTATTTTGGGCCTCAAGGGGCCAAAACCATTGAGAAATTGTTTCATTTTTACAGTGACCTTTTTTTTTTTTTTTAAACAAAGCTAACATGCACATCAAAGCCCTCAGAGATGCTGTCTGCCACATCCTTTTCCCATGTTTCATCGATAAAGTTAAACGAGGACGTTAAGAATATGATGCATTTATACAGTTCTGTTAGCCCAAACACTTTCACAGCCCTACCGACTCATGCCCACAACCCCGAGGAGAGCTGCGCCTCGGATGCCCACGGCAAGGGCGCTGACTCGAGCAACTGCTGCTCAGGAGGGCTCCTTATTTCGGAGCTCCCACAGCCTGTTGCTCCCCGCGCTGACTGCCCCCCCCGGCTCCGGGCACCTCCCGAAGCGAAGAGCCCTTCGGCAACCGCTGCACCACCGACTACCGCGGGTTGTGCAAGGGCCCAGCGGGGCGGCTGGCGAGGGGACCCGGCCAGCCCGGCTCTTCTGTGCCAGCGAACTGCCCTCAGCAGAAACGCCCTTTATTTGGTTTTGGTTGTGTTTTTTTTCGGGGGGGGGACGGACGGACACCTCTCGGCCTACCGCCTCCCCCACCC